ATATATATTCCATGCCATGTATAATAAATAATAATCCATCTGGTAATTTAACATAGTATATAAAAATATTTCTCGATGCACGGCAATCGAGTAACGAATCTGCGATTTAGCGAAAGTCTTAACGTATGCGTTCGGAGTCCCTATTAGATTTTTCCCTCCAACGCCGAATATCGGTGACTTCCGGACGTTCTTGCGCGTTGAAGAAAATTAAGGAAAAAGGAAAAGACGCACTTACAGGGTGAGCTTCAAGGCATCCGCCTTCCGGCGTTCGTCTTCCCGCACCCTTCGTCGTTCTCCCGAGGGCGACGCATCCTCCCTCTCACATCGTAGTACGCACCCCCGTGCAGTCCCCCGTTTTCACTTTCATTTGGCGCCTCCTCTCGCCGGGCTCGACCGCGGACCCGTCATCTGCCGCCTTCCGCCTCCACCCGGGTCCACTGTGAATCCATATCCCGTAATCGGTGCCTAACGCCGCCGCTGCCGCTACCGCCGCCGCACCACCCACAGGTTGTAAACACACGCACCAACGCGTACCTCACGCACACGCGTATCCGAATCGCTCGGGGTGCATATGAGTCGCGCGATGTGTTCTCGCGAACTTTTTGCTCTTTTTTTTTTTATCTGAGGAAAAGATCCGGAAAAAAATGCGCGTTTGATCTTTTCGTTCTCCTCTTACTTATGTTTCTCTTTCTTTTACAAAAGTCCGGCAAAGGGGCTGTAAAACTTGTTGAACGGATCGAGCGGGGAAAGGAGAGAGAGGAATGATATAAGGGACGATATAAGGGAGATAATTGCGAGGGAGAAGGTTTTTTTTCCAAAATCGAGCTCTCGGGGATGGAGCGCGATCAATCGTGGCGCGCGTGTACGAGGCACGGAGATAACACTTCGGCACCTCCCGAAGGGCGCGCCACGCGGGACATCGACATCCTGCGAGGGTCGCCGGGCTGCTGCTGCGATGGCCCGGGCGTCGCGACGGGAGCGCCCGCGCCGCGACGCCGCTAACCCGTCGCACGCCGCTGCGCCGAGCGACGTTCCTCGCGTCGCGGCGCACGACGCCGTAGCGAGAGGATGGACCCGCAGTCGGAGAATGACATCACACGTCGATATTCTGTCAATTCTTATATACAGGAAATTAAAATTTCGATTATCGAAATATCACGCAGAAAGTTTCAACATATTTTCCGAGCTCGTGAAAATTATTAAATATTTGTATTATACAATCGTTAGATCTCTGTTTTATAATCTGATCTCTTCTTTTTATTAAATTAAATACATATTGTGAAGATATGGTAACGGATGTATAGTCGTGTCAGATAAAAATGCGTTGGATGTTTACTTTTATATTTTACTTTTATAGCCCAGGATTTGATTTGAAACGAATTATGTTTATTTAATTATTGAGTTTGGATTGAATCATCAGGCATGTGTCATACATGTTACGGCCCTTGATAAGTCGGGACTGCACGCATGCGCCTTCAAATAGCTATTAGGAATTCAAGGTGGCTTATTATATAGACTTCTCACATGGAAAGAAATATTAACATAGACATCACACACGTACGCATTGAAGTAAACAATCTCATGAAGAGAGACAAACAACAACAAAATAATTGCAAGATTTTAGACAAAATTTTCGCGCTCGTTCAATAAAACATAATAGGTGTGACAAAGCATACATAAAAACATTAACATTTGACTAAAATGTTTTTATTTTTTAAATAACACATAATGTGCATATCGTGGAGTAAAAAAAAAACGAAATCTATAATATATATACATATATACGTATTAATATAATGTTCTTATCGTATTATGAAAAACTAAAGTATAACAATAAATTTGCCTGTTTATAATCTCGTGGATTTAATTATCGTCGGCAGTCTCGTACTAATCGTAAATTTCCACGCATTTTTCTTCGATCCACTTTTATTTACTCGGGATTGAAATATTTCATCATGAATATACATTAATTTCCCACACATTTTTGCCATGCTAAACCTCCGCATGCTATAGAGACAATTACGTATATTACAACCTGCAGGAGAGAAAAATAGATGGTATTAGATTGCGGCAGAATTTTAAGAGAATCAAAGTCGATTGCAATATTAAACTTACAATCAAAATTGAACCAACAATAACATAGATCTTGACATTTTTCCAGAATAAGGAACGCGCCAAATTTCTACTCGTCTTTCTGAAGGTAACAGACTGAAATAGAAAAAAATTAATTTTTTTTTTATAATATTCAATGATTAATAAAATAAATATAAAATTTAATTATTTAAACACAATTTTATATACATTGGCAGATAGATTTTCCGTTTTGTTTACAAGTAGCTCTAACCGTTCCCCACGCATCGCTATATTGTCAATATTTTTCACCATAATATCTTTAAGTTCATCTAGTTCACCGTGAACCTTGGACAATCTATCAAGATCCTTGGATTCACTATAATGTTTCTAAAGAAAACAAAACAATACGTGTGAGACAAATGTAAAAACAACTTTTTCAAGGTATAATAAGTTTTTAGTTATGACATTACCATTTCATTAGCCAAAACACGGCCAAATTCTGTATTCATAGCATATGCTACGGCAGTTTGAGCACCTGGTCCGTAAACAGCCAAGAATCTTCTCTTAATTTCATTGAGATATAAAAATGCTCTAGATCTTTGAAAATCCTGAAATAAAATCTCATTATGCTTTACGTCAATGTATGTTTATCTTATGTATGTTTTTAATACGTACATCGTCGGTAATGCACATGTAAATAATGCAGTCCTCACAGATATAGTGAAAAAGATAAGGCCCTTGGGAATATGTCAGTTTATCATTTTCTGGCGGTATTTTAGCCAAGATTTTTGCTGTAACCTCCTCAAAATTACCAACACAAGCAGCATATTTCGCCAATATAATTGTTCCACGAGCTACCACACTGTATAAAATTGGCATATTGATAGCTGCAATAAGAAGAATTCCCTTTATATTCCTATTTATTTTTATATATTTGCTATTGACATTAAATTTTCTTTAACCATTGCAGACCAATGCAGTAAGAGATAATATTATGCTCCCAGTGGGATTCTTACTTATCATATCACAAAAACAACAGGTCGCAACATACATACATATACAAACAAATGATTGGTCTGGTTATAAGCATACAAAATACTCATTAAAAACATCACTAATGATACAGAGTTGTGATGTCCACGAATAAATAATGAATTCCAGATATACGTAATATATAAATTTCCAATCTTAATTTCTTGATAAAAGAAATTAAGTTCTATTGTTTGGACTATGATTGAACAATGAAAAACATAGCTAATTGTAAAATGTTTCTTTTACAATAGGATAGATAATCGATGAGTCAATGCTTGACTTACCTCGATAAAGCGAAGTATATATTTAAGAAATAGTTGCACAGTTCTTTATTTATGCGCGTCCTCAGCAAGACTATATCGATATCCGTAGATTTACATCTATCCGAGAATAATGATCAATCAATCGATCTATTGTTTCTTCTAGAAAATTTTCGCAAAAGCATCAAAACACTTTTCGTAACACAGTGAAGTCACTAGTCGCACTTTTCTGATGATCAGCTGATGAGTGCGCGTAAGTGACAGTTCACAGTTCATCAGTCAGTGGCACCATAATGGCATATAGAGGGAGCTTGGGCGTTTGTTTCATTTGATCTTGCGCACATTGTAACGCGCGAGATATGAAATGGCGAGGCATAGAATGATAGTATTAATTCTGTTTTTAAAAAGAGAATAAATTAATACAAGAATAAATTAAAAATTAAAATTGTGGATTAAAAAGTTTTTGTCTTTCCAAAGTTTTCTCAAAAATAGAGCCTGATATCTTTAATCTTAATCATAATTTGCTCTTGAAATTGTTGCTCTCTTTTAATTCATTTTTTTTTACATTTGTCAAAAAATGTCTTATTCTAAAGAATTATTTTACATAGGAAAATAATCACAGGAATAATTGGAAAATTTGGAGAGAGACCGGCCGCGTCAGATCGGCGCATGTGCCACCCACGCCCGTAGAAAGCCACGTCCTAATTCTCGACGGATGCTCTTACACACCATGTCGATTGCCTGCTGCCTCATATGGGTCTATACGCGGTGACGACGACTGTGCTTTGCTACAATGTTGGAAGAAGATAGCACAGCGTAATACGAATAGATAACGGTACCTCTCCGTAGTGAGGAAGGAGATGGTCATGATGTGCACGTGAAGCCGATGAAGCCCGAATCAGTATCGCGAAAGCTGCAGGGAGGTTTGCTTGTGGACGATCGTTTCTTCGAGATTTTGAGGAATATTTGCTAAAGGCTATTTCTGTGAAACCACGACTCTGTCCGTAAGACTGCTTCGAATCGGCTTCGTCGCGACCTTAACATTGTGATAATGGGTAAATATATTGTGCATATATCTTATTATAGTATTGTCCAATCATGTCACGATTTATTCGCGAGGAGGATTTTGATATATAATGTAAAATATCTTTATTTGTTCATTGAAAGATTTTTTCTGGGAGGAATAAGTATAAATCGATAAGAATAAATCGATATTAAGAGCAGGTCAATGTACGTGAGATTAATAAAAATCGGAAAAAAATGATAAAGCTACAAGAAACATAATATGACAAAAATCAAGAAAAAAGAAAATAAAAATTAAACCAGATGCAGAGGCAAGTGCAATAAAAAAAATCATACAAAGCCAAAAAAAATTGTTATTTCACAGAAATATTTTGATATATTTCAAATTTTTTTTAATTTGATACATAAATACGGATTAAATATGTGATTATTAAGGATAAATATTATTATCACAAAATTAACAGTTCGAAAAATGATAAACTAAGATCAATGATATAATAAGAGAGAAAAAAAGAAAAGTTATGTAACAGAGCGATAAGAAACTCAATAATTCGTGATATTACTATTTATGTATACAGTATGTGTTGATAATGATAATGCTTTATAAATTTAAATAAAAGACGAAGAGTGAAAAAATTGTGTAATTTAAGAACAGAAGAATCAAAAGACTCTCTTAAATATTGGTCAATATGTTAAAAAAAATATATATATATATAGTTAATAAAATCAGCTCAACACTCATGTGTTTTATGTGCATGAAATGGGAAATATTTTTTTTTGATAATATATATTTATCTATTTTATTTTATTTTGGAACATAGCGTGTAGAAAACATATATTACATAAAGTAATTATAATTAATACATAAAATGTGAAATGCGTAACATAAGCAGATGTGTTTATTTATATGCACCGACTATGAATTAAAGTAAACCAGTATGCTATTATATAAAGATAACATTCCAGAACAGAAAGGCGTAAGAGTGAAAAAACATTATAACTCGTGAAATGACTGCATGGAATCCATGCATTTCGCACGGCACATTTCCTACGAACAATGCGAATGTTTTCTCTCAATTTTATTTCTCTCACGATTGGTAACTTGTCTTTGCCATTAAATATTATTGAATGGAACAATGGTTTGACAAAAATGCGCATTTTTCTTAGCACAATTATCACAAAAAGATATCTGTTAACTATATTACTTATCAATAATAAAAATAATTTTATCAATTAATATTATTTATTCTTATATCTTATATCTATACCAATATTTATATTTAATCTTCTTAAGTTAACAAAATCATAAAGTCATGCTTGAAGCGTTGAAGGGATAGCTACCTTCCCATTGTATTCGAATAATGCCTGTTTCTTGCAGTATTGATTCTGCAAAGGGTGCGTATTTCCCTAGAAGCCTACACGATGGGATCTCCCCCTTTAGAAAGTATATTTCCGAAGGATCGAATATATAAAAGTTACATGTGTTTGTTATCTTATTCACACAGAGATAGCTAGAAAATAATTAAAGATCACACATCTTACGATAAAGTATTTCTGTCTCGCCTGCGATGCAAAGTCTTGAAGATGTCATCTTGCAAAAATGATAATAACCCGTTATGGCAAGCCTTTTTTGTTCTTATTGTTGAACTTTACTCGGACTTTTTTTCGCTCGACAAGGCACTGCGATAAAAAAAATAGCTACGCGTTTGATTTAAATAAAACGTGTTTATCCAATCCATTATCAACTATCTTTACTGCTCTTCTGTTATCAGTTACTTATTTCTATTTTTTAAGAGATTGATTGTCAATATGCGATAATAATAAAGATATCGTTTCTCTCTTTTATAACCGAGTTATCGTGCAATAATTTTTCTTATGTTTTTAAAGTCTGCTACCATTACTCGGCGTTTTTTAATCAAACTGTATAAATATCTTGTTGTTTTTTGATTAAATAGTCTCTTTGCTTCAAAAGATAACATGACTTATGAGAAATCTGTGTTATTAGTGCAATGTGTATGTGTGTGAAGGAATGATAGTAAAATTATAAGATGCCATACATATTTTCTCTATCCGTTAAAAAATTTAATAGGCGAATTTCTCCTTCTCTGAAGATTATATCACACAAAAATTTAATTTGCATTCCGAATTGTTAACAAATAAAATTTACATCGCAATTATTTTGCCTTGCATAAACCGCATTGCGTTTATGATGTCGGTGATATCATCTGAAATATCGTGCGGCCGCAGAAACAGTAGATCCATGTGATTTGTATGCAGAGTGTTATAATTAGCAAGCTATTTAACACATTTAGATTAACGGGTTTTCTCGGGTAAGATCTTATCCGTCGTTTATATCTGAAAATGCATTCTATTTTAAAACGAAAAAGTCTATATTATAAAATATGGATATTGAAAAATTCGCGGAAAGAATTCTATGCAAGGTTCGTTACGCCTCGTTGCATTCAATTGCATCGTGTATGCGTTAACCTATCTTTACTGCTCTTCTGTTATCAGTTACTTATTTCTATTTTTTAAGAGATTGATTGTCAATATGCGATAATAATAAAGATATCGTTTCTCTCTTTTATAACCGAGTTATCGTGCAATAATTTTTCTTATGTTTTTAAAGTCTGCTACCATTACTCGGCGTTTTTTAATCAAACTGTATAAATATCTTGTTGTTTTTTGATTAAATAGTCTCTTTGCTTCAAAAGATAACATGACTTATGAGAAATCTGTGTTATTAGTGCAATGTGTATGTGTGTGAAGGAATGATAGTAAAATTATAAGATGCCATACATATTTTCTCTATCCGTTAAAAAATTTAATAGGCGAATTTCTCCTTCTCTGAAGATTATATCACACAAAAATTTAATTTGCATTCCGAATTGTTAACAAATAAAATTTACATCGCAATTATTTTGCCTTGCATAAACCGCATTGCGTTTATGATGTCGGTGATATCATCTGAAATATCGTGCGGCCGCAGAAACAGTAGATCCATGTGATTTGTATGCAGAGTGTTATAATTAAAAGAGTGCAAGACAATATGCAAATTACACATCTGCCTCCCCGCGGTTCAAAAATAACAGTACATTACATTTTCTCAAACGCAATGCTTATACGTCAATTTTCTCTGTCGTACATGCGTGCATTTATATTGAAAATATCTACTTGAAATATTTTGTAATTGAAATTGCCTGTGCTGACTCTTCAGTAGTACAGTTATTGTAGCTACTATATGCATTACATTGCGGTAGATGATTAAACGACCTCGTTTAACGACCATTTTATGAAACGTTTCCGGAACTTATAAAACCGGTTATGCATCTCGTAGACCTAATTTTTTTTACGAGAAATGAGTTGCTGTGCAACTTAAACGCTCGATCACGTTCATCGAACATGTGACCTGAAAGATAAACCCGATAATTTTATAAGCAACATCACAGATTCGTCACAGTCTATTTTACAATCAAATTATCAATTCAGCCAATTTCGAAGTAATGTAGCATAATACAGGCGAGGAGAGAGGAGAAGGAAACTTGTTGAAAGCATAAGTTTATTTCTACTCCAATCTCTCTTATGTAATCTCGTAAAGTATTAGCGCCTTCAAAATTTTTGTAAAGAAAGACTGCTCTTAAAAATTTGTCTAAAGAGGAAACCGAAACTTTTGTTTTTATATATGTGATTATTAAATTATAATAAAATACGCGCTCCATTTACCGTGCTGGCCCTCATTTGCCCTTGCTTTAATTTAATTAGACTACATTAATAACACTTATGTTTTTTTCACGCACCTTTTCAGACAGAACAAGACTTGCATTTGTCACGGCTGCCGCCGTAGGCGCCGGCACGGCAGTTTTCTTTGTCTGGTGGTGGTGGACTAAAAAACAGAAGCCTCAGCCACCATCAAAATGGCGAAAGGTCGGAGAACTGAGCGATATAATGGTGTTCCCGATTAAATCACTCGCCCCAATTCGCATGACGGAAATGGAATGCACGATATTGGGTCTGAAATCGGGTTGGTTGAGGGATCGTACGTTGCTGGTCATCGATCTCGAAGGGCGATTTATCACCGGCAGACAGTTACCCAAAATGGTCAATGTAAGAGAAGCTACAAAATTTAGTTTATTCTTTTATATAATAATATTTTATAATAGTTTTAATTATTCTGTTATAATATTGTGCGCGATATATATGCGTAACAAATTGTCGATACGATTTATAACATAAATTACGCGATTAAAGCTACTACTTTGCTTCACTGTATTTTATGCATCACTATAATTTAACTTTACAACAAACGAAAAATAGATTAGTAAAAGAAGGATGAACACAGTATCTCACCATTTATTTCTTTCAGATGTGTGCTTACCGATTTTACATATTCTACTATCTCGATTCTCTTAAGCTAATAGCGATACTCAAATATTGCTAATTATTCTGATCATAGCCTTCGTCTGTTGTAGATATCGCCCGAATTTTCTGGTTCCGTATTGACGCTTCGCGCTCCGGGCATGATGTCGATATCGATAGATCTCGCTCAGCTTCGCGGTAAAGGTTTTCGGGTCGCTGTTTGGGGTCAAGCGGTACCGGCGCGCGATTGTGGTGAAGAAGTTGCTCGATGGCTGTCACGCTATGTTCTTCAGGAGGATGCCGGTCTTAGGTTGGTCTACTATCCATTAGATCGACCAGTGAGAGGCGTGAGAGAAAGAGATAAAAAATACTTTTCTTTAACAGTGACAGATACCGTAAGTATTTTTTTCGCAACGATAAGATGTATGAGATTTAATAATTATAATTTATTTGCCGAAAGGTTAATTAATTTTTTTATTATCTGTTAGTAGATATTCTATTATCAGTTAATAGATCCGTAATTTTTTTTAAATAAAATATATATTATTTCTAATAATTGTTGTTTCTATTTCTCTTGCTTTCTAAAGATCTGAACGATCTTTCCGCCATCATTTCTTACAAGTGTTTCTAACGGAAGAAATGCTTTTTATTATACCTTCGCGCTGAACACTTCTGCTATGAGTCAACTTACCTGATTTTGCATCTGTTACTAACATTATCACTATGCGAGGATAAAAATATTTTACCATAATAGAATTATCAATTTGGTTGACAAGGAGAAAATATTCTTATATCGTTTATATTATAGAAAGAGAAAATAGTTTGCCAACGTAGAAGTAATTATACAATTATACATATGTATATTGCAATAATTTTTTTTTCTATAGTGAATTAAATATCAAAAATCATTTCGTTTCAAACGATGCACGACACAGGAAAACTACAAGAGTTTATTTCGTCAATAGGGAGCCTATCCAGATGAAACAAGTTACAGTCTCATAAACCAAGCTTCGGTAACAGATCTTAATAGCCGACTGGATGAACCTATTACCCCGCAGCAATTTCGCATGAATTTCGTGGTCAAGGGTGCCACTGCTTACGAGGAAGATAAATGGGATTGGGTGAAAATCGGAAACGTGATTATGAGAAATGTTAGACCATGTACAAGATGCATTTTCACTACTATAAATCCAGAAACTGGAACGAAAAGTAGCACAGTCGAACCTTTGAAGACTTTAAAAAGGTATATTAAAAATATCAAGTTATATAAAATATATAATATACAAGATTTCTCCTTACATATATCGAGACAAAAATATATAACAGATTTTACGACGCACAATAAAATTATATTTTACAAGAAACGTCGAGAGAAAAATTTAGATAATATATCGTGCCGTTAACGAGAAATTTTTTCTTGGCAGTTACAGACAAATAACTGATCCACAAATTCGACCCGCAACTGGCGACAGTCCAGTTATGGGAATTCATCTTGGTCTACGAGGATCAAATGGGATAGTTCGTTTAGGCGATCCGATTTACGTGGGTATCCCGGAGGAGACAACAGCGCCGTCTTTGACTTCACCATCATAGCTATACCGTTGGGACTCCTGCGAGGTTTTCGAACACGAACAAGGCATCGGACTTGATGGTCGAGAGCAACAAAGCATGAAAAGCGGAGTCCAGAATTAGCAACGAGATATGTAAAGAGACACACTTGTGTTATGTGCATGATTCTGCATGTAAAATATTTTTGATTAAGAATATACGATTGAGATCTTTCTTTCACACAATCAGTGGTAAAAAAAATATAATATTAAAATATAAAAATATAAAACTACGAATGTACTTACTGATGTATAATCGTTATCTTACAAAATAGTAAATTTTGTACTATGAGAATCTTTAAAATTAACAACGATGCAGGATTAAATAATCCTAAATTTGTAAGCGATTCAGATCTTTTTAATTTTTGTGTCATGGAATTGCGATAGTAGCCTAAATTCTTGTTCGGTGCGTCCGGGCATCGCGGCAGCTGTGCTGCTCTTTTGGGGCAAGAGTATAGACGTAGTGGGGGCCCCTTTCGCTTCTGCATTTAACTGCCCACTCTTGGAGAGGCATATAGGGGATAAGATTCGAACGGATTCGAACATGAGATCTGTCGATTTTATCGGTTAGTGATTTCTACACGAAGCCACGTATCACCCCAGTAGTCTAAATATTGTAGCCTAAAAATTTGTAAAAATATATTTTGCTATATTGTTAAAAAATTAAAAAAAGATATTAACCTCTTGAATATATCATTTACCTAAAATTTATTTTTTATTTTAGAATAGAAATTTAATTTTTTATCTTAGAATAGAAACAAATTTAAGTTTATTTCGCAATACAAAAATGGTAGAGTTTTTTGTAAATGATGGTAAATTTTTAAAAGATTTTTGTAGATATACCATTGTGATACTTGTAATTAATATTTTTTTTAATATGCATCATCAAATGTTCATATTGTATACAATTTTAAAATGAACTTTAAGAATAATTCACGTAATTCGTATATATTACAAAGTACTGTTTTTACATGTTCCTGCTGCGCTTGGTTAATTTTTAAATTTTATAACATTTTAGTGCAAATTTAATTCGCAAAAATGTATCAAAAAATATATGGCTTATATAATAGTGGATTTTGTCAATTTGAGTATCTGAATCACATATCTGTCTAATTATATTTTGGTATTATAGGAAAAGATATTTTAATAAATCATTAATATTTTGTGAAATGGAAATATTCGCAATTAGACATTCTATTGTATTAAAAATCTTATTAATCTGTCTACTTAAAGTCAAAAACATATAACTCTCGTTTTTTATTACAATAATATTTATTTGCACTACAACACAACAGGGACGTTTTACAGAGAAAAATAATACGCTCGGTTCAAGGACGAGAAACGCCGCGTTTCATGAACTGACATTACGTTTACTCAAATTATATTGCTTATTGGATTTGTCCGGAGCGGAAAAATCTAAAAAGGGAAATAATTTGTTTCAACGGTTCGTTGCAGTGACAGGCTTTTACAAATTACATCAAATTGAAATACACGAGAGAGATATAATCAGAGAGATTCTGATTTCATTATTAACAATATTTAGCAAACTTAATTACCTAAATTTCACAAGTTTTACGTCACCGCAATTATAGAGAAGGAGAGAAATAGGTATATATGAGAGATAACAAAGAAAACAGTGTTAAAGATACAAATAGATAGAAACAATATTATGCCTGGCACTGTTCCATCCCGGGGTAAGCTATGTACAAGTTTGCGATATCTTGTTTATTCTTGTGCTCGACGACGAGCGATTGAAACGCATCGTTCGCGCAATAATAATCGAAGGGCATATTTAAACAACGTGTTCTTCGATCTTGCAAACAGCACGCGTCTTATCCCTGTTACGATCGAGGAAGATCGTAAGGCTCTGTATATTGTACTTTCTACAGAAAAAAAAAAATTTATTTACTTTTATTCTTACTTTAATCGCGAATTGAGATATATTTTCCAAGCCGAGGGATGGCTCGTAGAGGCGCGAGAAAGCGCGCGCGGAGAAATTTATTACCCGTAGTCGTCGGTGCATGAATCATTTCGTTCGAACTGTCAACGGCGAGCGTGTCGTATCACAAATTCGAAACGATTTCACAGTTTCAACATCTCTCTCGATGTGTTTTCATCGTACCATGGCAACGCGAGCCACCCCACAACGATTAAATTTCGATCGTCTTAAAACGACGACCGTCTACGGAAATTTCTCTATCGTTTTAATAAATTCGACCGATACATTATAAAAAAAAAAAAAAAAAAAAAAAAAAAAAAAAATGCGAGAAGAGAGATAGACACCGGAAACGAGAAAGAAAGAGAAAAAGAAAGAAAGAGAGAAAGAGAAAAGTAAATGAAAAGGAGAAAACAAATTATATAGAGAGCCGAGTGAACAAAGTCGAACGCGAAATCGAGTTAACGTCGCGTTTATAGAGGAATACGTTTGGTGACGAAGTGTCTTGTGTTTTCACGAAGAGCTCGGCCATTGACGAAGGAAGTGAATTCAGGATCTCGGGAACAAGGGGGCAACACCGTGAGATCGGTCCTGTTGCCAACGTCGTACCCGTGCTCCTTTCTGGCAGAGGCGGCTCGGCGTTGATGTCCATGTTTCGGTACCAAGGCCGGCGAGGCCCCTGTGCTTCCTCATCCCGATCCTCGAATAAGCTCCTTAGATAAGCCAGTTGACAAGTCGTGCCTTGTAGTTGACAAACCTTTCGCTCGTGGCCGCTAAGCGCTGCAAATTAGAATGGAAATTGATTTTCATCCGGATATTCTTGGATATATTTGATTTGGCTGTTTCCGGTTTTATTATGGAATTGTATCTATCTTATTTTTTGTATAAATAATAATTAAATATTTTTCACTTTTTAGCGCGCGAATAAAATCTGATTTCTAAAAATTATAATATTTAATTATATTTCGAATTATATTTCCTTTCTGTTATAGAAATTGCAGAAAGTCAATTGAGACTTGTGAGATGAGTGGGAAAGAATTATTTACAGGCGCGTGTGCTACGTTACGCATTCCGCACATAAGGTAAGGTTCTTTCCGCTGTTTCAATCTACGTTTAATCGCGCAAAATCGCAAATGCGTAGAAGAGTTCTTAATTCGCCGGATCAAGGAGTTCCACGCGGCAGACGAAGCGTAAACACTTTCGAAGCGACGCGACTGACGGCTTCTCTCGACGATAAAACTCCTCGCACGTTCGCGCGAGTGAAGTAATGTGCCGCGAATTGCGCATAATAATACTATTACGACTAGAGGAGCGGGGCGGTGAAAAAAAAAAAAAAAAAAAAAATCACACGGCAGTCAACAAAAACAAAATATGTTCCAGGATCTCCATTCCGCGTCTCCTTTCTCCTCGAGCCTTTATTTAAACAGCTTCCTGCCCGTTGTACAGATAATTGTGAGCGCCGCAAAGTCCTAATTTACATTACACTATGCGATTTCTCGCAAGTATAATACAAATTATAGTTATATACAACAAGCTATAATTTCAGCTTGTGAATGTAATATATGCAAAAACCGGTGTTTGCACTATCTAAAGATTCGTTTCGCAAGATCATATATGTTTAAGCACTGTGCACGGTTGTTAATTAACAATTAGATTTTTTTATCTTATTGCTATCTCCGTTTTATACGTTATATCTTATTATCAATATTGATACCAATTTTGATACAATTCTAATTTTTTCATTTTTTAGAATAATATTGAAATTTGTATATAGTATCTTATGTAAACTAGTGTTGTTTTATTATTATTTAACTTTAGAGAGAAAGCCGAGGATAAAATAATCTTTGCGCGAGTCTATCTATCAGAATATTCGTCATTACAAAAAAATTTATTTAATTTAATCTCTTTCGTCAAATTGATGAGCATAAAGAACAAGCATTTGTTTTGTTAGTAATATGAATAAAATACCAACTCTCTCTATCGTGGCTTTTAGCACAGATTATTAAAACCTTCCGCGAATTAATTGCGCACTCTTTCGTTAAACAGTTTCACTTTCGCTAGAAATAAACAACAAGCGAGCTCGAGCTTGTTTTGAACCGGATTAGTGTATTAATTAGTATTATATTTTCTTTCCAATATTTACAATAATTATTTTTAATAAAGACTTTTTTAAATATAAATAATAATTAAACTGATTTTGTATATTAGTAATTTCATCTTTATTATTAGTAAATCTGATTTATCGTTGAATTATTTTTTTTGCATTTGCTATTATTAATCTCTTACTAAAAACCATGATTATTTATTAGGCGTTAACTGATTATAAAATATTTAAATCATTATATGAAAGTAACATACAAGTGATACAGTTACATCGGCTAGATGATCTAATGTGTATCATTTTCTATAGCAATTCCAAATGTTACGAGCGTAAAAATCATTGGTTTAAAAAATAGTTCATTGCACGACAGAACAAAGAAAGATAATTGTTACGCACATGATGTAAACTAGTTCAGTTTCGATTTTCATATTCTAATAATGATGGAGATTATTATGGTCACTATTTTTATCAACTATTGAATTATAGCGGATCAAGTAAGCAGATTGCGTAAGACGATTTCGCTCTAATCCTTCGATTGCAATATGATGTAGATCAAAGATTGGGAGGTCAATTATTATATTATAAAACTCGTACGATTTACATCAAGTAAAAGATCATTTATCTCGCACTATGTCCGAAGATTGAAAATCGTTCGGATAGTGCGAAATGAATGATCTCCTATACAATGTCCAGTCGACTGTAGCCCACTTATTTCATGCTCTACGAGCTCAAAAATGGTTAAGTCACAAAGTGAAAGTAATCCATTTGGCAACGTATGAAAGTTACCGCGAATATAATAAATGTCGGTTCTCATTTTTCAATCTTTCTCATCTCTATAATATCCGCCATAAGAAAAATTGATTTAGTAACTTGATTAATATTCATTTGCAATTTATATTTGCAATTAAAAACTCTATAAATAAAACTTTCCATATTATTAAAATTCAGCAAATTTAATTCCATATGCATATTCATTTATCCTGAAAATTGCAATTTCTATGCTGAAGAGTTTGATCACTCGAAACGAAATACGAGAAAAAGTAAAGAAAGTTTGCTCATCTATTTGCGTAAAGCTCAGTTGCTTGTTAATTTTTTTTTTGTGAGATTTTTTTGATAAATTAAACACAGGCCGTTTTCGCACACAAAGCGATGTAGCGTAACAAGGATACTATTTTCGATAAGGTAGTAGCCATCGGCCAGTTGTCGCTCCCGGACAATCTCGCGTGCCAGAAGCGGTTTCTTGCATAAGTTGCAGCTGGTAAATGGACGTGCTATTTCATAGAGAAAGTCGCTTATATTTTTGCTTTCCATCGATCCCGACGGCGCGCTTGCGTAATTGTCGGATTTGCATTTAAAAGGACGCAAGGCGAGACGCATCGTGACGTCACGCTTGCTCGAATTTCGAATATGTAACTATATGAAAAAATTTAATTTTTTTTTATCATCGTTCTACTAAAGCAATTTTAATCAACAATTGCGCGATTGATTTTAATGCGGCCTCACGTAATGCAATTTCATAATACAGTATTATGCTGTAAATCTGTTTTTAGCACTGCGATTATTATGACGGACTAATAAATACAAGTCTCTTTAACGTCAAAGTTAATGCTGCATAAGTTAATTTTACGGAATCTTTAAGAAATTTTATCACGCGATTTATCTATTATCATGTGCGGAATTAACAGATGACATACCATCTTTTTGTATACATATATTTATGATTTTTATTTATTAAAATTGATTTTTAGCGCAATTTGCCAGAATATTTTTATATTAATAATTATTTTAATGATTGATGATTATGTTATAATATTAATTTAATAATTACTTGATTACACTGCTTCATAAAAATATTTTTTTGTTTTTATTGAAAGACGAGTGCAATTTTATGTATTTTTTATTAGCTTTATTGCACGCGTTTTTGTGTTGCTTTAATTAATTTTGTAATTTTATATTAGAAATCACGACTTAACACAAATTTCACTTATAAATCCGTTAAAGGAACAAATTGCGAATAACAATTATCGCGTGTCGACAAATGCAGTCATTTGCGACGACGGATTGGATTAGCCTATTGTGGAATCGCGGTCACAATTACGCGAATGTGTGCGATATCAATTTTTCATGTTTTTGCTCAAACTTTTATCTAAACTTGTTTTTAATTAAACTCTTTATTGAATTTATAGCGCAAAGAGATTTTATACATTTTATATGATAGATCATAAACGTCCAATTAGAATGATTTTTTCCCTTATTCTAACGATGTCAAAATAACACCGCTCGCAGTTTCTCTTCTCCCTCTTTCTCTCTCGGATAATAAAATATAAATATGGAATAATTAATACGGGTCAGATACACAAGTGCAATTATACGTGTACGTTTGCGTGATTACGTACAAACCGGAATTGGAATCTGATAGTTATCAAATTAATTACCTTATTAAGTTCTGACAATACAATATATGCGCTATTTATTTGCAATTGTCTAACGCGATTATATGTCAGTTTCAATGTCTATTAATCAATCGCGCTTTGACGTAGTTGTTCAATATTTCGTAATGGTTTACTTTCAAGTGAACCTGCGTCATTAAAATCTCGAAATCCATAATCGACGTCCGGTATAAGGAGTAAACTGCCACTATATTGCTTACTTGTACATGAAGCGAAATGACTTGGATATCTTTCAAAACCAATCATTAAATATTTGTATGATAGCATTGTTAACACCAGTTCTAAACTGTAGTAACTAGTACAATTACAAATCGTATAAATCATTTATTTTTTATTACATGTAAGAATTGGTTGCACGATACATTCTTCTCAAGAAAAAGAGCATGATTGTAAAATTCTTAAGTAGTATCTCCATTATTGGAGTTATACGATTGTTATTTAAAAATATGATTTATTTATTTCCTTTTTTCAACCGGGGTATTTCATATTTACAGACAATTTTTAATTAAATCCTCTACGAAAAGACAATGTCAATAATATTAAGCAAAGTATAGTGACTTTAGAGTAGCGAAATAAAATTTATATTGTAGTGTCTAGACTTCATTACGAATTCGCATTGAAAAATGAAAAAATAAATGATTATAGGTAGATTGTAGTGAAAGTTTAGAGATATCTTTTATACTCACGAGTACTACGTCCTCGATGAGATCCGACCATCCCCGATTAGCGATGAGGAGCAATCTGGTGAAAGGACCGGGTATAGCCATCGTCATACCCTGCGTCGGTCCTATTATAGGCTTCTCTTCGCTACTGCCCCAGGAACCTGAGTTACTTCCGCTGCTGGCCACCGTCTGGAAAGATTACAGAGATCCGTCGGCGTTAGTCGGCAGGTAACATAGTAAGCGGAGAGGGATCCCACCGTGGTTGGGACTCTCCCGCATCCGGGGATGCATTACTGGACGACCCGGCGAAAGTGAGTACAAACATACAGGGATTAATTTACAATTATTGTTGTTTTGTTTGTTTTGGGGGATATAATTGCGGTGTGTGTTGCAGCTCCACGTCCAACTCCAGCGCTCCCGACACTACGGTGCTCTCACATCCTACTTACGGCTACGATCCATCGATCTTGCTGCTACGATCCTTACGTGCGCTCCTTCGGCTCGTAATATTCGAGACTTGTCTACAGAGTGTCCATATATATTTTTTTTTTTCTCCATTTTCAGCTTGAGAATTATGGAAGATTTACTCTTGAACGCGGATAGCGGTTTCGCGGAACGATAAATTAAAGATTAATAATAAATTAAGAATTTTTCTTAGGATCTTTATATGGACACCCTGCGTTGTGCACCATAAAAAGGTGAAATCGCCGATACCCAATAGCGACAACAGAATAAACCATACACCATAACGGACTCAATGATACGCTTCGTATACTAGCGATTCGCAACGCAACGTTACAGGAATAATATTTGTCGCGTTCACGCGAATTCTCTAGTCACAAGCGCGTTTTCAAGAGTTTACACACGTCGTAGACTAATTATCAAAATTCCAATACTACGAGATACAAATCGCTGATTGGCAGACAAACCGGTATCAGAGAAGCTCTTACGTTTATAAAAATATAAATAAATTTATAATAAATTATAAAAATATAAAAATTCATTTATTCTGTTCGCATACAAAATTTGCGAATCTTATTATTATTATTATTTTTTGTAACCGATCCGTCTGCCGATTAATCTGCGTGCGTTTATAATATATATATACTCTGGTGTATACGTCCAAAATATACGAGATGAAACAAGATACAACTATGACCGCTAGATATACGGTGCAATGGACGAGTACGAAGATTACAACAACGAGAGAATCGGCATCGATCAATGGCGATTCGTCAGATCTCGAGTAAATCGGCCTGTCCATCAGCCGATCAGTACGCCATACAAAAGAGTCTTTAAGTCGGTGGTTGTCAGCGTTGCGTCGGGACCGTTGGCCGGGTGGAACAAGATGAGATTTGGAACGAGAGATGGAGGGGATAAAATTTATCTGGTAAATTTTCCAAAATTAAAGAAAATAAAATTCAACGTATAATTAAGTGTGTGTGTGTGATTAAAGATTTAAAGAAATTATTAATTATTAAAACTCCTTAATTGCTAAATCTTTGAACTTTTATGAGTGTAAGCTACTTTATAATGAGACTAAAATGTCAAGAGACAAAAGATATCAATTTAAGATGCACGTTTTAGTCGACTAGTTGTACTATAACTGTATATATTTTTATGTATAGGAATTTCTAAACTAACATATAATTATGGGTTAAGGGGATACGCAATTTATACAAATTACATGCCAAGACCTCCTTGCAACGTTAGACGTACAAAAAGTGCATAAATATGAAAGAAGTCGTAGCGGATAAGAAAGACAGTCTTTTTCACATAGAAGAAATGGCAGATTAGAATAATTGCTGTCGCGTATTATTTTCAGACGTATACATATGCATACACACATACATGTACATATATATATATATATATATATATATATATATATATATGTATATACATATGTATTATATACAATATGCATATACAATAAAATATTAGAGATCTTGATATGCAATTCATGCGCAGCGAGATAGACAAGACTGAAACAGGTAGAATCTGTATGAAGGAAGGAGAAATGATGAGAAAGGGGAAAAAAGAAAAAAGATGCCAGACAGGAAGAGTGACGGTATAATTTGTTCAGAATAAGTCGTCAAGAAGAATTAAGTCACCAGTGGAAGATAAGCGGAAGATATGAGAGAAGTCTCTCTGTCTCTCTCAAACCGCGAGAGTCAAGAATGATCGTAATGTACATGCATGAAAAAGTGTGGCATGCGTAAATACAATGTGTGATTCAATACGAGTTATATATTTTGCAATCGAAAAAGAATTATGTGAAAAAATAGTTGACCGTAAATAATAGAAGAATCAAGAAAGGATGCGATTGCAGGGTGAAGAGTGCAGTAGTGTGTGCTACTTTTGCATGTAGCGCGCAAGACATTGCACGTGATATTGCAGATATATCATATGAAATATATCAATAGAAAAGTAGAACATTATTGTTGTGAAAAAAAAAAAAAAAATGATGGCTGATTCTAAGGAAAAGTGTGACTATCATAAATCGTTAATAATCATTGGAATAAATTTTTCTCTTCATGCAATTGAGAAACAACATGCTACGACGACTATTACGAAAGAGTATTTATGAGATAAGTATATGAAAAGAAATATGAAAAAAAAAAAAAAAACAGAACAGGCATGTACAGTGCGTATATAGATAAAATGAAATAGATATACAGAAAGAAGAAAGAAAGAAAGTTGCTGAGCGGACCCGATAAAATCGATTGGTCCTATACACGTGCAGTACCAACCGTCGACGCGGTTCACATCAACAACACACAAACCGAAGGAAAGTCTCGCAAACGAGACACTCCCGCAAAAGTATGTTGCCTTGCGATTGTCCCACTCGTCCCTTTATCGGGCCCGATCGGAGAGAAGCGCAGTCGCCGTATCTCTGTCGGCGGACGCTTAGGCGTTGTGTCGGATTTGGCGTACCAGTGGTGGAATGCCGGCTCCTGGGGCGGCTGTCGAGGGTGCGTTGGACGTCGGGGTGCTGTTGGCAGCAGCGGGGGCGGCCTGCTGGGGCGCCGGGCCCACGTTACGCGAGGCGCTTAACCCGAGCCCGAGGCTCTGTGTACCGGCGACAACACGGTACACCGTGCCCGCCGCTCTTGCCGCCCCGTCGGCCGCTTGCTAAACGAAAACAAAGACGAGAACTTTCGTTTACTTGGCTCTCTGCCCTTGCCCGCTGGAAGAATCACGCGCGTTTTCTTTTTTCTCTCTTTCTCTTTTTCGTTCTGCCCGCGCGATTTCGCGAAAGATCGCTATCGGCGATCTCTTCGCGGTCGGCATGCGTCCTGGAACTCCTGCAATGTGGCTGGAAAGTGGTTTGTTAAGAGCTCTGGGATTGCAACGTAGTAGTGGGGACCTCGGGAGAAGGAGGCCAGAAATTGTCTCGATCGTTTTCGTTTCAATCGTCGACGTTTTCATGCATAAAAATTTTGTCGTGAAAAATGGAGAAAAATTACTCATTTAACGATTATCGTGTTTATGTTAGGTAGCGCTTGTATGAGAAAAACTGGTTCGATAACGAGCGTCGATATGTTATTGCAGGCGGTATTGCACAGATTTCCTTCATGTATATGTCCCTGTGAACAGGTACGCCAAACATGAGTCAGACAGTTTAAGACTGTTCGCTATTGACCGATGATTGCGCGATGTCCCAGTCTATACTGACGTCGATGTCATTGAAAATTTGACTACCAAATATATTTAGAAAGTCTGAATCAAAAGCTATTTTTCACTCGTTGATGTTATTTCTCATTTTATTAACCTCATAATCATACGTCAAGTTTCTCTATTTTACGAATATAAATATTTATTTTATTTTATATAATTATAAATAAACTACCTATCACTGTGTGTGTGTATGCATCAATCCCATGCGAAATTAGATAAAGCGCCACTTGTTTTCCTGATACAATAAGAGGATAATTCGCTTCTGGCATAATTTCGAGAGTTACTTATTAATGCAGGTGAATACCCGTGCGGCAAAAACAAATAGAGTATCGGTTACGTAGACAGGTTTCTCGTTTTCTCAATCTACGGACGGTGAAGGGTCGTGTCGCGATCGATCTGTCTCTGAAATCGCCTCGAGTCGCGTCGTTCGTAATCGCGTCTTTTTTTGACGGGAAAGTGAATAACGATGGCAAACGGTTATTGGAAACGGTGACTCGATTTTCGCATGATTGCAACTGTCACGTTGGCGAAAAACTTGTTCCGCCGAGATAGACTTTGCAAACGAAAAATCGGTCATTAAATATCATCAGCGTTTCACACCCGTTATATTATAGTTTCGATCTATCTCGAGAAATATAATGTAAATTAACGATTTTGCATACATTGACATCGCGCGCATACATGGCAAAAAATTTAATCCTTTTGATTTCTGTAATTCTGATAAATAATATTATTACAATGGATGTGAATTTCTATGCATATTTCAAAGTATTTTTTAAGCGGCTACACTTTGTTAACAATAAGTTAAACATGTAGTTCCGTTATCAGTAAAGGCACATACAATAATTATTAAATACTTAATATTTAATTGTTTTCGATTAATCATTAATTAAATTATTTTCTAATATTATGGGAAGAAGAAAAAAGACTATATTAAAATTTGAAAAATTGTTCAAAAATATTTCTTGTAATCTACCGTAACAAAGTCGCAATTAAAAATTAATTAGACTGTTGCAATGACGATAAAGCGGTTGTCACGCGGTTTCCGCTTCTCTTTTTATCGCTAATTTCTAATTTATTATTCCACGGTATTTCGTGCTTATATCGTCGCGTATGAAATCGCGGATTCGCGTGGACTTTAATCAAGGACGTCAGAGCGATCGGTGAAAATCCTAAGATAATTCTACTGCGAGAAAACCCGGTCGTACCTAGGTCAGGAATCTTGAAATAGTAAACAATAGCATATGTGACGAGGCTATGTAAAGGCAATTTGGTTGCTCACTTTCACTGCCGTCTGCAGTTAGACGCCCTTGCAGTCGCCAGTCACCGGAATATCAAGTATGCGAGATTTGTCGCCGTGCGTGCCACGTATTATATCGACATAACTGCGCGCTAAATGAGTTTCCATTGTTCCTATCCTTTCCTCATCATCCTTTCTCTTATTTTGTATACGTATGAGCGTGATTTTCGTTCGCCGCAAGAGACGAAAGAATTCGCGTTCTCCATTTTTCACGCGACATTATTAATAAACGAGGTGCTTCTATAAACTCGATAGCGCGACTCACCCTGATAATATCGAAGAGAAAGTTGCCCGATCCCGCTGCTCCGGTGGAACCTTGTCTCTTGTCTCTGCCCTCGTCTTCGCCGCCCTCCGTCTCATTTTCACTCAATGGCGTGAGCTCTTCCGGGTCCTTCGCCGGTTCGTCCGCGAGTTGCACCCGCACTTCGTTATTCTGCGATTCCGCTTCGGCTTCGTTCACTCGATTCTCCGATTCCGGGTTCACGTCCTGTAAAAACACGTTTCCTCTGGGTGGCAAGAATTAGACGATCAAACGACATCCTCTGTTGACTCTTTACCCCGATATGAGTAATTTATTTATCTGTTTATGACTCGAAATATTGATCAATGAATCATTGTTGATTGCTTGGTCGTGTGCCAAGAAGTGCATAAAAAATCACGATCGTATGACAAGTAGGTCAACTGCATAATTTCAAGGTCTATGAAATGTATTTAGATCCGTGTGTTTCACATAGCATTATTTTATTATAAATTATTCACATATACAGGGTGTCCTAAAACTACCGGACTTCCTCTTAATGGCAGATTACTTAGAACATTTCAAGACGAAAATCCTAATACAAAAATGTCGAGGCTATAATAGTTTTTAAACGGGAAGCGACTATATTTTACGAATGACAGGGCTGAGATTTCGCGCGTTCAGGCACGGCGAAATAACAAATGAGAAAGAGGGCGCTTCATTCATAGAGCACTTTTTTCACTTTTTTGTATTAGGATTTTTGTCTTGGAAATATTCTAAGGAATCTGCCATTAAGAGTCATGAATAACCGTCTTAGACGACCCGCAGGGACGCAACAATATATATATATATATTTAATTTGCATAAATTTCACATTTCTTCAATCGAGATTTTTTTATGCACTGGTGATAAAGCGCGAGAGTATAAAAAATTAATAACTCTTCACACTTCGAAATATTTTGTATTATATATCATGATTACTATGTAAATTATTTGATTTTGTATATGAGAATATAAGAACAAATAACATGCGGATTATGAAGTAACACAAATGCTACATTTTATAAGGACATAACATGCATAATCCTCAAGCAACAAAAAAAGTATTAATCACAACTTGCACAAGCATTATCAATACAAACATGTTATTCATATTAAATCATACACATATCTCCGACAAAGTCACACAATAGTCAATGATTTATCGAATAAAAAGCTGAATATCGATTATTGATTACTTGATGTTTATAAATATTTCTCGAGTTTTATATTTGCAATTATATTCTGTAGAATATAATAAACGTTTTTAATAAACAACTTATATTTTTACAGATACACGTGAAACTGATTCGTTACATCCTGCGAAAGGTGATAACATAGAAATGCTTAGAATATTAAAAATATGGAGAGAGGTGACACAGCCAAAAAGACCGAGGTAATTCGAGCTGTTTGGTGAAAAAGTCATATTGAGATGAACTTCAAAAACCGAAACCTATTCGCAATTGAAATGACGTCATAAGAGAAGAAAAACACATTATATGAAAAATATAAAGTCCGTTTTGAATTTATATCAGAGTTAAATGACGAAGAAGAAATAAGAGAATTGGATAGACAAAAGTTTCTGAATGATCGAATGATCTGCGAATAGTATGAAATTTGAATTGCACAGACAAAAGATCACAGACAGATGAATTGAAATATCGAGAGATGGAGGATAAACCCAGAACCGGTGTATAATGATATTTTTTTTCCAGTATAATTCTGGCGGAGCCAAAAGAGATCGTAATAACGGATCTCGTCGGCGACAATAGCAACAACAATATTATTAACCGATTAATTGCCGAGAACACGAGAGGACAAAAAAGGAGTTAGCAGTGTACGAAAACGTGCGCGGCCGCGGCAGTCCTGGTTGCGCGGTAAATTAGCGACCATTTATGGACCATTAGATCCCTACCCCTCCCGTTAGAGATCTGAATGGTCGATCGAATATCCGATCGATTCGATTCTCGTTTTCCTCGAGCACCCGATGAGTAATTAACACACAAAGTGGACAACGCGCCGCAGCAGTCCTGAATGCGCGGTGATTCTGCATCTCGTGAGGATTCCTCAAGATCATGACCTCGAAAGTTTTACCGAGCTGCTGACCAAACGACGTCACTGCGAAGCGGTGACTTCGTTGTCTAGCGATGATATCGTTGTTGTGACGATCGACTCGGTAGCGTTAACCTCGTCTCCGCTCTCTGTTATTGTTGAGGATGGAGAGGAGCCGGGCGCTTCCGTCTCTGCCGTCTCGTCATCGTCCGGAGGAAATGTTGGGAGAGAGATCGACACTTTGGAATCGTTCGAGTTGGTTGACTTCGTCTCGCTATCATCTTCATCCTCGTCTTTGTCTCCGAAGGGCGAGGTGCCCGTTATGCTTGTGCCTTCGTTGCTCCTTTGGATGCTTGGACGATTACCACCACCGCCAAGAACATTGCGAAGGAGGACCGGACCGAGGACGCGAATCACTTCCGCGACAATTGCGTTGACCTTTGCTTCGATTCTCTAGAAAACAATAGGTCTTAGCTGGAAAGTCTCTTAGCGTCGCGATTTCTCGATCCTTTTTCCACTCAGACTTCAAGGCATTACTTTGCCTTGTGATCCCCATATGAGCAGTGGGGGTGATATCGATCCACAGTAGTGATCGTGGATACTTTGATTCGTCTATATGAATGATGCGGGCTTATATCGTTCGGTCTGTACGAGGATTCTTTCGAATAATTTCTGAATAATCGTCCGTCTAATAATGAATGTTTATGCGAGTTATCCAATGTTGTGCAAAAATCGATCAATGACTGATTTATGTTACCGTTATTCTGATTGTACTGCGTCTCTTACTATCGGGCTTTCCTCCAAAGGCGCTGCAAGTCAATCATAGTTACGCCAGTTTTACGTAACATTCGAGAGGTTTGGTAAAACATATTCGAAAAATATCTTTATACAAATTCTAGTTTCGAATCTAACGACGATAATTAAACACGATTGATCGTCGGAATTATTTCGGGAAAATTCACTTCATACATACATACATACGCACACACATTTGGTATTACGTCGATGACTATCGTGCGTTCATTCAATCACTCGGAGACGTTATACCGAAGCCGAGTCGGGAAATTTCGACATTTCTCTCGAGAATTGATCTTCCGGTTCGCGACGAGAATTGCGACTTTGCAGCGATATGGGATAACTAACTCTCGTTATTCTGCGAGATTCGTTACCAAATCAATCGCATTGTCATATGACATGCAACCGCATGCAAGAAAGGCCGGCCAACATCGCCAAGAAAATCGCTTGCTAACGAGACAAAAAAAAATCACACAGCGCATTATTAGTCAAATTAGGAAGTTATTCTTGGACAATTCAATAGCCTGCGTTATACCAAGAAGAAAGCTTCGCACGTAATATACAAGAAAGAAATTTTCCCAAGAATGTTTGGTTCTTCTTATAGGATCTCTTGTACCGTCCACGAACGATTGCCTCGTATTACGCAATTTGTTGTTCAAATTATAAAACTTCCCCTAGCAAGGTTATGAAAGTTCTCTTGATATAATTCACGAGGTCAAATAAAAACCCCTGAGAGGAAAAAAAAAGAAAAAGTAACTCGAGAAACACATCGCAGATACTCTTAACAGTAGAAATCGACGGACGCGCGATGATTGTTTTTTGCAAACGTGTCTATGACTAATTGCTTCCGCTTCCATAATGCGGAATAAACACGACAAATAGAATCGAAACAAATCGATCTGTCTACGCGAGCGTGTAAAGGGGCAAATTGGCTAGTGTCGACTGACTTGCAAATCGAATGCGTTACTTTCTCATTGTCAGTAAGAATGTGAAGTTAAAATTGAGGATATTTGACAGATGCCACTTTACAGCGCAGGTCTGCAAAGTTCGACAAAGCAAGGTCCTAGTCGACGAATGTTAAAAGTCTTTAATGCAGATCAAAGTCCGATGCGTTCGCTCAAGGGCGTCATATTGCGCCTTGATGATGTGTGCGATGATATTTGTCGAGCGAAGTAATCTACGATGATAATTTATGTACAGCCTTGTCTATAAGATATCGTTTAAGAACGGCAATCTAGTCCTGGCCTTCTGCAGGATTTCTCTGATTATTCGCGTTTTGCGTATCACGACTGCTCACCTGAGAAATATCTGGGAAGAGCTGTCGTAGAATGCCGATCGTCCGTTTGCTTCTCAGGGCCGCCTCGTTGTCAGTTTCGGCCATCACTAGCCGATCGAGGGTCTGAAAGAAAGTTTCCTATTTGCCCTACCATACGATTTCTGATTCTTTATCGGACAACGACGATATTTTCCAGCTCCTAGTGATCGTAGAATATCAAGCATTGTCATAATATTCGATCGGTATATTTTTCTGAATATTGTAAATTATTGATTGAAAATTACAATTTATTAAATTTGATAAACCAATATTTTTTTTTTGCGAAATGAGAAATTGTGTATTTATTGTATACATGCCTATTTCTCTCTTACGCAAGGACTTTTAAGTGTGTAAGAAGTGAGATTTTTAAATCTATATATATATATAGTATTGGAGTATATATGTCGCAAAGTGTGTTGTGGACAACATTTGATTTACGATCATAATAAAATCCGCGAAGGAGCTCCCATCAGTTCCCTTTTGTTAAAATTAACCATGCATTGTGTGAACGTTGTTGTCAAAGTGGCGTTAAAGAATACGCGAAGCGTATCTGCCACGAGGTAGCGGTAAACAAGGAAGTGTACCATAGTGCATAATTCTCCCATTCAAGTTGGAAATAGACGGTAAAGACCGTGGAGTTTGGTGCCTTTGAAAATGTTAAGGTAATTGTGTTGTGTAACAATATCTATATTAGATGGTAGCAAAGCAAGGATCATTAACTTAGCGCCGTTGTATATTGAACGAACTTGTCAATTACTTTACGATTTACTGCCCGGAGGCGTAATATAACTGATTCTCTCGTAAATTCTTGGAATTATGTACTGATAATGCAAATGAAGTTATTTGCAATCTACGAAGATTATTAATAAAGATCATCACTCAACATTGATTAACAACTATTCATTTCATGCGAGAAATATATTTCATAGCAATTTATTAAACATTCTCATGCAAAGGTTTCAATATATTTGGCAAAATTGGCAGGATAATGATTCATCACGTTAATTACGAAAGATCGACATTTCGGCTGTATCTACTTTAATATCGAAGGATAACCTGTCATTATAGATACAAGGTGAGTTACTTGTATTCTAGTACGTATTCTATTTTGCATTAATTTCACATAAAATCTTAAACTGATAGAACTAATGGGGACGACCGTTGGACTCAAATATTGCTCAACTCGCGTATTATAGTTTACTTTCCCTCAAAGCTCGTTCACATTCAGGTAGTCGACTGGTTCCACTCGCCCCTCTCAACTCTTTAGCCGAGAAGTTTCGCTTGTATTTTTATTTTCGAATGTTTAAAAGTAATCTGAAGAAGGCCAAAACACTGAATATAGAATCTCCTATATAATACTATACTTGTTTGTTTTTATATTTTAATTATATATATTATATAATATTTAAATACCATTCCCGTCTCTCTCTAATAATAAATGTGTAAAATCTTGCTTCTCAATTAAATATATTTTATTCTTATAAATCTTGATTGATTTTCTATAAGTTTTAAATCATATATTTATTCCGCCTATTCATCTGATTACTTGTCTCTGTATCTATTTAATATTCTGTATTCTTAATATTATCCACGAAATTTCTCTGACCGCGTGCAAAATACGGATCAAATGGAAGTTCGCACAGTGTTTCGAGTATCGCACTGCGGTGTTGCATGCGCTTATACGCGTACGCACCAACTTTCCATCGGGCACCTATCGACCGAAGAAAGTGTCCGGTTACTTGGCGGCCAGTGAAAGTGTCGGAGGGCGAGAGCTGGACGACCCGGCTTTTTCGTCAGATCGTATACTTTGAGGTTTATACCGTTTACGACAGTACACGTCGTGCCTGCGGTTTACGGAACCGCATGCGAGCGCCTGTTTACTTATCGATATGATTATATTATTCTTTACACAGTGTTATAATAAAATATATTAATAGCCTACTGTTTTTACTTATCAATATGACTTTTAAAAATGTATTAGCAATCGTGAAAATTTTTTTATTATTTTATAAACGTATAAACGTTTATTAGTTTATTCTATCGTGAAAATATTATGCTCACGGAGAGCCAATAAAATTTGCATGAGATAGTGTTCCGACATTGGAATACTATCTCATGCAAATTTTACTGGCGAAAACCTTCGAGATTTATGGTTATTATTTTATAGCCGCGTAATCAAAACATTAAATTCTTCGACATGATATCCCGATATTATACACGAAATTCGTGTTTTTTATACGAATCACTCTCCTCGAACTCTCTTCGTGTCATGTAACCATCCCCAGCTGGTGACCATGCTTTCGCCGCGCACGTGTGTTATGTTAGGTTATACAGTCTCAAATGTTATGTAAAAAATTATGACAATTATAAGTAAATTGCGATGAATGCTACATAAGTTCGAGTAGCGACTGTGAAAAAATAGGTTTTTAAGCAACTGCTATAATTTCTGTGATCATGTAATAACGTAACGTAATAATCAATCGTAGCAATCGTAGCATCACCAATTTTCAGAAGAATTAAGAATTACAAACTTTCAGTGAATTATTACGCGAACATCAAAGTATAAAAAGTTTTTATTACACACGCTCTAATGTTGGAGCACGCTCAGTCTTACGTTAAACCAATTTTAATAGCTTTTCGTACGTTATTAAAGATTGCGTAAGATAAATGCTTCGATATTACAACATACGAAAATTTTTTATACTTCGAATTATTATTAGAAATAATATTATTTTTTATACTTTGTAATACGTTTTGCGATTAGTTTTAACAGCTTCATGAGCTATTAAAATTTGCGTAAGATAGTGTTTTGACATTGAAACGTGTATTAATAGTATTTTCGTGACAGAATACATTTACAGATACAAACGATAAAGAAATGATTGCTCATGATTGCCAGCACATTTCCGGATGCCATATTGATAAGTAAACAGACTCGGCTTCATGTGTGTGGTTTAAATCGCAATGCACGAAATTGCAATAAAATTTTAATTGCGTCTGATTTCTGCCGTTTTATTCGCGCTAAAGTTTTAGCCGCTATTAATCGAATGAAGAACTCGGCGAAAATAAAACATCATCTCTAATCATCGAATCATTTGATTCGATAGAAACGATCAGAGATTTAATAGATCAGAACGTAGCTAAACTTTCGCGATCGAAGAGGAATTGTTTCACAATTTTCTCAGGAATTGTCTGTTTTATCGTTCATGTCGTTTGACAATTAATAATTATTCCATTAATTTAATTTTAAATAAAAGTTAATTTCTACGCGTCGATTATGTGATCGAGAAATTCTCTGCGAGGCAGAGATTTTCTAGAAAAACCACACTTTTTTTTCTTTAACTGATGTGACGGGAAGGAATGCAAATAACATTAGTGAAGCTAAGATTAATGGAAAATTATTCGGTTTTACTAGATCGTGATTATCGCGATCTAATGACAATGCGTTAAAGCCATTATAATAGTCATTGCATAATTTTACGCAGGTATTTATCGAAGCATCTGTGTTAATTAGCTATTTAACAATTGATGGCGATCATTTCGCGTATATTTACGCTTGAAATTCGGTCTTGAAATTTTGTTAGTTGTGTGCCACGTGCCATTCGTGCATAATTATTGAGCTATAACGCAGCGGGAGGGGCGGCAGTTAATCCGTCTCATTAATCTTGCGATAATCAAATGGACGGAGATGTTAAAAGAGAAAGGCATGAAGATGCACCTCTCACGTACTTACCTCTGAGCGAAGTCCGTTTTCCGGAAGCGGATTCGAGCTCACTAATGCGAGACAAAGCGCAACCGTTAGTGCCAGAATAGTATACCTCATCTTGATCGGATAAATAAGTTCTGCGAAAAGAATAAATTACATTGAACGTATATACGGTGTTTATAATTGCAAATAGCAGTAAATATAATGCACATTAACGCATCGCGGCATCTCTCTCATGGTCAATTTTTCGCACTCTGCACATGTTATTTAGCAGATGTTTCTTACTTATTAGTAGATTGTAATTTTTTATAAATGCGTTCCGACTCGAACTTCTCAGAAACGATCTTTTGTGTTGCACATATTATTATCTTGCACACAAAGCTCTTCTTCCTAGATTATATAAGAAAATTGTCTGCTTCTAAACATATAGGACGGATAACACGCATCTAATATGTAGAAGAGTGAGAGACTTTTCACGAGCCGTGTAATCTTGGTCCTCGTGTGATATTCTCATATTATTATTTGATACGCCCTTATCACGCGTGAACATGTGACGAGCATGTGGTTCACAAACCGGTAATGTAAGATGGAAATTGCTCACGCGAGGATCATGAAAAGACAGTGAGAAGGTGTACGGTGAGAAGCAGGAGGGCGAGAGGAGCAATGACTCTCCTTTCTCGGGCATGGATCCGTTCGCGACTATCACTTTCGACGGAATGAAAGTGGAGAATGCTGTTGGCGTCTGCTAGACACTGGAGGAAACGCACGCTTTGTAATTAATCGCGATTTTAATAAAATGTAATTTGCATCATATCCGCATTAGAATTATATTATTTATCGATACATGTTTTTCTATTATAAAGCGTGAAACTTTGCTCGTCCGTTGCTCCATAAATTAAGCTTAATAATTGCTCGTTTATAACAAGCCTTAAAGCGCTAATTAGAGTTATGATAACAAACTAATTGTGAATATATATAGACATTTGTTAAAAAAGAAAAAAACGATAAATATATGTAATTATCTTTAAATTGTTTATAGTTGCATAAAAACAAAGTGTTATAGTTTTATTAGATTCAATATGAAAGAGATGTGTGTGCTTGTCAAATTACGAGGTGTTTGCTTTCGTTGAGGAATGTTGTGAGTGTGCGTGTATTTCTGTAGTCCGCCAATATATGCCATGTGCAAATAAATGCATACGCATTTGGTACGTTGAGAATGAATCGTAGATGAATCGAGGATGAATATGTGACATTGAAACGATGTAGATTCAGTACAAAATATTTCTGCTCGGGGACGATATTGAAATATTTTATTTTTGAACGTGCTGATTAATTTAATTATTTTTTTCGTATTATTTGCACTATTCTTATAACGCAAAAAATTTACAATTATATGATATAATGAATAAATTAAATAATAATTTTTAAAATAATTTTTTCAAGAATAAATATTCTAAACATTTTAAAATATATATTGTTACGTTTGAAAGAATAATTATTCGCGCATTGTAATAAAATGCAAATAATTTTAATAAAAATTACAGCAATTAAATTGATGTTGAAAAAAAACTTGTTCTTTAATCTTTTTATAAGACGCGCGATAAAAATAGAATAAATGAATTTGTAATCTAAATAAGATATAAAATTTTCTAAAAATCTTTTGTCTAAAAGAAGACAGTAAATTTGCTTATGTCATAGACAAATCAAAACCACGCAATGGTCGACATAACTTTTAAATTTTATTCAGAACTTACTCTTTTCATAAGAACCATATTTAGCAGATTTTCATTTTGCCAATTTCTTCTCGTGTCTCATCAAAAATCTCCCCCTCTCTCTCTCTCTCTCTCTCTCTCTTTCTTTACGCTATTTAACTTTTTATCATTAATCTCGTATGTATAAATCTTTTTAAATTGAATTTGATATTAAAATCTTAGAAAATAATGTTTAAAAAGACCTGAATATTGTAAAATATATATGTGAAAAGATGGACTCAAAGTTTCCATCAAATGACTGATTACTAACGAGATTGCATGTCCAGATGGAAAGAGATTTCTCCGGAAAAAGCGTAATTTTTAATACCAGTCTTATTAAATATTGGATATACTTTATTACGCGAAAATATTTTCTATTAATTTCGTTCAATCGACAACAAAAAAATTGCAAATTTTTTATTTGTTAATAATTATTTGTTTTTATATCTAAATATACTTAACGCTGCTAAGCGAAAAAAACATCTCCAGAATTTTCTTCGTCTACACTTAACACGCTCAAACTCAAAAATTTTCCACTTGTCACCATCTCGCCACGTGGTCGCCGCATTCAGCAATTTTCCACGAGACACTAAAGATGCATACACGACGATCCGAAAAAAATGTTGATTGAGTTAGAAACGCGAAATGTGTTGAACTCACCACGCACAGATACTATCCGTCACACGGTTTGTCGTGAAAATTGTGCGAACTGGAATTTTTGGAAAAAAAAAATCTCGCAGGGTCCTGAAGGAGCTCTCGGTGGCTCCTGCTCTCTTCGGGGTTTTCTGTTACTGTCTGTGTAGCGACGCTTAGTGAGCGGCTTTTATTAGAAGGAGGGGCCTGACACCACCTCCACGCTACACTTATGTCTGCGGCCTCTCGTCCTCTCCTTCTGTCATGTCGCATGGGAAATTCTGAAGAAGGGATCGCGATCACATTGATAAATTTCGGTCCAATCGCCGAAACATGAACATTTCGACGATGATCGTCGAGAGATGCACTTGCGCATCCGACTAGCTTTCGAATGTAATTTATTACTTTTCTTGCGCTTCGTAGGAAATTGTGAATTTTATATCTAGTGCGAAACATTTCTTTTAAATGAAAATAATTCTTAATATTTTATAAGGCTACTTCCTCTCGCGCAATACTTATCTTAAAATGAAATCTCTATTAATGAAGATAATAATCAAACAATAGAATCTCTTTGTAATTGAATTTCTCATTTACATGCAAACCTAAAACTGTTCTTCTTCCTTACAAGAAATTCTGAAGCGTTATTGATAAATCGATAATTAATCATTAAATTATAAGAAAAGATATATATGCCAGAGGTGTACATAGATGATGTATCGTAAGATATGACACACGTAAGATTGAGGCATAGATCTTGAGCAATCAATGGATGAATAACTACATAGGATATTAGAATTTCCTTTATAACATCTAGAAACATTTGTTTAAGGTTTATTTTTGAACTTAGACATGACTGAGGTATTTAGCTTAAAATTATGAAGCTGTCGCTGGTAATGATAGTAATGCTGATTGATTAACATTACTATTTATCATATCTACACGCGTTGTTTTAACCAGCTTTTTTACTCACACCATAAAGCAGCAAACTTCGCAACTTTATTCTTTTTCTGACGACATAAGCTATTAGATGTAAATTCCCATTGATTAGAATAAAACGGTGTCATTGCGAGTAATTACACACCATAGATAATGAAAGTGTATGTACACAATACATCCCTCGCTTAGGTCATGGTTCATCTTAATAGATTATTTAGCTTTTTTTTTGTATGTAAAATCATTTAGCTGCGGTGACTTTGCCAGGTGGCTTTCCTCTTTTTTTCGCATTTTATAATTCAGGGTTGAAGCTACTAGCTAGCGGTTTTTAATACGTCGCATCGCAAAAGAGTATGTTGCAACAAAAGGTATATTATGGACAATAGGAAGTAGAGAGAACGAGCGTTAACGAATTGATGCGCGGATACGTTATTGTAAATTGCAATAGACTGACAACCGCACAAACCGAAACTTATGCTTGAGATTCTGCTTTTTATTACTTGCTGGAATTTTCGTCATAGAAATATCGCTATTTATATAATTATATCAAAGATCGCCTTGAGCTATTTACAGAAATTTTGCATACGCTTTTTATAGTACTAATCGTTTTTTTTTGTGACTAAATTACTTGTTTCCCGCGGACGGACATCGCGCGTTAACATTGAATACATAGATGGATAATTATAGTTTTATACATTAAATAAGATACGCAACTAGAAAACGTGAAAAGTAAATTTTTATTGAATCTAATGTTATGAATTTTTCAGAATCTTCCCGGTAGTAGAAATCATACTTGATACTATTGCGTCTATCATCTTGCTCTCTATTTACATAGCTGTAAAATTTTCACTATAGCTTATTACTTAATTGTTTACCAATAAATGTCTGGAACATGAAACGCATGCGGACTTGGATTATAGAATGCGCATGCACTTGCGATATGCTTCGTTTAGCAACGAGGATATTTCTGCTCTATTCTCTGTTCCTATTTTTATTTTAGAATGATTTGCTGGATAAACCCATTGGATAATGCAAGGTGCATTTCGATATATTTTAATATATTTATTTAAATAGATCTTAAAGATAAAACAAGTTGCGTTCATTTATGTCTCGCGAGTTAGTCCTACTTTATTTTTTAGAAAATATTAAACAGCAAAGGAAAAATATCTTGATAATAAGGAGGATTGTAATCTTCAAAACTAATTAAACATAAAAATAATAAAAAAAGTCTGATATTTTGCCATAAGCAAAATTGCCATAGTTTAGTAATCATCATGGAAGAAAGGTACGGTAATTTTTTGTGTTTTTGTAGAATAAGAGAACAATATATAATATTTATAATGTTGTAAAATATAATAATCAATTACAAAATAAAATCTTCTGTATGATAAATTTTTCGCATGTTATCTCATCATAATAAAATAAAAATCCGGTCTTGATTTGTATATGAAAAATCTTGGTTTATGTTTTACATTGTTTTATTTGTTTAAATCTGCAATATTATAACTACTTTCCTCATTTTGATGCAGTATAAAAATATATGTGCACAGAGGATATATGTAATTACAGAGATGATATGCAGAAAAAGCCGTACATTATCAAGTAAAAAGAGAGCCAATTATTCTTGTGATTATAATATACATTATGTGCTGATTTTGCATGTCGTTTTCTTTAAAATTAACACCTCATTATCTTGACGTGAGATCTGTATGCCAAGCGTTTTATTTGACTCAGGGTTACATTCTAAAGGTTCAAGTGCGTAATAGTTATAATCAGATAACATATTTTGCGTAATGACGCAAACCATGTTACTCAAAGTACTGTCACATTTCATATAAATTTCGTACTTTCGTAATTTCGATGTATAAAACTTGATATTTCCGAAACAAAGAAAACAATGCTTCAAAAAATTTACGCTTTCTATGGTTTACACGTTTTCATCATCTAAAGATTATGTGAAATCTTGCAAAACCATAAAAAATCTAAAATTTATTACAAGTAAGCTCAAAACAATGCGAATTAACGTAACAATGAATTAAATATAATTGTCTTATTTTGCGAAGAGAGAACAGTATGAAAATTATGAAGAAATTTTCTAAAACACTATCCGACAATCAAAATTCGAATAATCGCGCCCAATGTCATTTAACTTTATTTCCCATTGCTCAATTAAATCATATATCATAACATCTTTAATCTTTTTTTTCAAATATACATACACATTACATGCCGCCTTCACCTATTTAGCTCTCCAATTATGTATGCGTTAAGCCGCGCTTTTATAACGATTTTCTCTTGTTCTTGAAAGATTGCGAATTTATGTCGACGAATTAAGTTTTCCCTTTCTCGACAGTTTCCGCTCGTTACTTGTCAGTATATTGGAATGACAGCAAAGACAAGTGAAGCAATTATCTTTCTTTTATGACGAAAGAAAATGACGATCTGTCCTGGCCGGCGGATATTTGACAGCACGATTGGTACATACATTGACAATGAGAGATATATCATCTAACATACATTTACACTCGCCTATTTCTAAAGTTATTATCGAATAATTTTATTTATATTTTAATTACAATTAAATGTCCTGCATACACACTGTTGCAACTTTATTTATAATGTAATACACATCAATTTATTTATAAATCTTCTTGGTTTCACCGAACAATATGATGAGAAGATATTACGTATTTCCAATCCGATGTAAGGTAACGCAGAACTTGAAGATAAGGTGCACACGCGATGCTTATTCCGGTATCGGAATTATATTTTAGAGAAACGGATATGTATGCTGTGACTAATGGAGAAAATAAATAAAGAACAAAAAGAAAAGGAGAGAGGGAGATTGCTATTCGCTTCTCTTTATTTTATTCCTATAACGATCGATGGGACTTTATGCCTTCTCACGTCGAAAGTGTTACGCGAAACAGATATCGAAAGCAACCATTTATAATTAATTCCGAAAAAAAAAATTTCTTAAATCATAATCGTGCTTTCACGTCATTGCTATGCGGAAAAGAAATGATGCTTGAAATGATTATTGAGTCAGTTGGTACGTATATAACTTATATTATGTAACTAAAGAATCTACGCTTAGAAACATATGTATGTCGGTAGTAAAATGTCAAATGTTTTTTAACGTTAAGAAATTAATATCAAAAATAAAAAATGCATAGATACTTTGCAGTAGATATTCAGATTATCGGGAGGCATAATTGATTCAGTGACAGATGCTGTTATTATCATCTCTTAATCGCACATCTTATATTGTACCACGTAAAGAATTGTTTCAGAACTATGAACGTACCTATGAAAACAATTCTGGGTGGGAAAAAGCTACGCACCGATTTCTCGTTACTAATCTAAGTTTCTTTCTGAAGAGACCAAGGCCCTCTTTCCTTGCAAAATCGCGTTGACTCACCTTTGTTGCTCTTTATTTCTTTTCTTTGTTCTATTTGATTCAATGCGCGTTACCAAATTTGCACAATAATCCCCAGTATATAGTAATCCCCAGTATATTAAACTCTATATATTGAATAGATTGAATATATTAAAATAAGATATCGCCTGTTTTTTGAAGCTAAGCGACTTTATTGATTCTGTCAAATTACCAATTAACTTGGACAATTCATTGCGCATTATTTTGAATAATTACGAAATTTACGGAAATTTACGGTGGAGATAAATTTGATATTAAAAATATATAAAAATTATTTATTAGATATAAAACAGCAAATAAAAAGTAATATATATGAGTAATAATCTGAAAGCGTAATTAACGTATATTTTGATGATTTTATTTCAAAGAAACAATAGCTAATATTTATGAGCAAAAAAATCTACCAGCACGAAAATCTTGATTGTTCAATATATTCTGTAGGCTATAAAAATATAGTAACTATAAAAATATCCATAAATGTTCCGTTATAGCACTTATCGAAACGTGTTATTACATCTCCGGAAAGGAATAAAGAAATACGAGCAACAAAAGTAAATCGACACGATTTTGCAAGGATATTAAAAGGGGATATTTCGATATTAAAAAATATTAATACATTGATAAAATCCGCAATATAGGGAACATTTATAGATATTTTTATAGCTACTATATCTCACCTTAAAACAGCTAAGGTTACACATTTAAAAAGCAACTGATGATTTCAATGACTGAAGAAATATTTAGATAGTGTCTGAATATGCATTTTTATAATTTTTACAAAGTGTCAATTACGACTGAAAAGAAACTTACT